ACGAGCAGGGAAGTGATTAAACTGGAAGCTGTAGTGGTAGTATCCATGTGCGTCTTATTTTTCCATCTGACTGTCTTGTTGAAATGTGTGGTCATCTATAAATGGACATAATAATTAAAAAAAAGCATAAGATGTTCCATATCACCACTTTCAGGTCAGATAGAGCTGTGGTTTTGAAACAAATGGCTTGGTAGTTCCCACTTACCATGCTGTGTGTTGCGTTAAAGAGTGCTCGGAGTACACAGGCTGCATTCCTTTAGCCAGAAGTGTGCTTCACTACTAGGGGGCATTCACTCCTCAAGACCAGACTGCAGCTAAACAAAATGAGCCCCCCAAGGCAAGCTGAGTGTGGCTGTCGCATATCCAGTACAGCAGAATGTTCAAAGGCATGTGTTTGGATTGTTTTCTTCAAGTACATTCTAAGCCTATTTCATGTACGTCTTGCAGGTGGTGTTCTCAAGCTTGCTTTTCTATGCTGAAATAACGATTTCTGTGGTTTGTCAGAACTGGTCAAATTGAGAACCTGCCTGAAAAAGCTTTCAAATTAGTTACTACTGTAGGAATCATCTGATGATCTTGGGTAGCTTTGTCGTAAATACTCTTCTTAGGCTAGTTTCCTGACAAGATATGCTTCTGTGTGCTCAGATAAGCAACATAGAAACCAGTGCAAATTATTGGTGTTGGGTTTTTTTCCCCCAACACATTCACGGGGCTTTAGGATGTCTCTTTAGAGTATTTCTTTCTTTGTCCTGTATGTCATTGAAAGTGGTCAAACAATTGCAATTTCTAGAAACTTGTTCAGACTTGATTTTTATTCACAGAAATGCTTCTGTATTACCTGTTTCTTATTGCAAGAGAAAACTTGAGGTGGAGGTGACATCTTGTACTAGTTCTCCAATTTTCACATTCTGCCTTTTCCTTTTGGGGAAGAAAAGGATTAATGGATGTTTATTAAAATATTTTTCGATCAGTTTTGTTCTGGCTTAACCTTTTCAACAGTAAGAACTGTCCTACGCAGTCTGTATGCATTAGAGGATAGCAGCTGGTTTACTTCAGACTGCCTAATTTCTTGTAGTGAGTTGCTCTTGAGTGACAAGCTGAAATACTCTCATTTTCTTTGTTTTTCTAACAGCATCAAGGGATTGAAGCTATCTGTTTGCATTAATAAAATTGTTTCTGAATCTTCTTTGAATTATTTTAAAATTATTTAAAAATAAAACTTTCATGTGGCACACAACTGGTTTAGTTCTGGCATAGCTACTGATTTAATTTTGTATTATGATTTTATGGCTAAAATTTACAGTTTCATTTAACATTTGTACTATTAGTCTCATGTGGGCTGAGAAACTGAGCCTTTATTTAATATAACAGTTTGTCTAGAAGCCCGTTCTATTGAGTTTACTCAGTACTTGATAGATGCATTAAATTCACTTTGAGATGCTACATGGGTAATACTTTCCAGTCATGCCCTCAGATTGCTACTAGACAAGATTGATCTCAGTTTCCCAGACAACATACATTTTTAAGGATGTATGAAATAAGTCTTTTTGAGTTTCATATTAAGCAGAAGCTATACCCTTTGTGCTTAGTGCAGCTTTCTGCAAGTGTGCATAATGAAAACTTCTTCGCGGGGAACGTGGAAGTTCATTTCTCAATTACAGTATTTGCAGAAGTGAAGGAAATCAGTTTCTTAAATTAAGTACAAAACTCAGTCTTCAGTTCAAATTATTTAGCTCTGAAATAATTCATAATACTTGCGGAAGAATATCAACCCGAGAAGGACGTTAGTGACAAACTCGTTAGTTGGCTTCACTGAATTTCACATACAGTTGGAGTTTAGTCTTCAGAAGCAAGCAGTGGAAGTTGACGCAGTAACTGATGCTTGAGAACTGGTAATATTACCTGCAAAGGACCCCTGATTAACTCCTCTTGCCTGCTAATAGTTTTTGAGATAGAGGAAGTACTGCCTTTTAACCAATTCCATTACTTCAGCTGTATTTTTAATAAAATGCAGTGTGCTGTATTTTACAACTTCTCTATATTGTAGGGTGCCTGACATGCTACAGAGGTTGCTTAAGTGATGAGAAATGATAGGCAAGAAGGTGCCAGATTTCATGTTGACATTTCCATTAATTTGAACACAGTCTTGACTTGGAAAACTGTTTTGGGATCAGAGAAGTCACTTCTTGGGACTGTTGCCCAATAGGAGTTGCTTAAAAATCAGGAGAATACAACATGTCTGTTTTTAGAATAGCAAGACCCATCTTCACTGAGATAATTTCAGCCAATATCAGTTGCATTTTAGGAGCAAAAGCAGAACAAAATGGTACAGCGCTACAGAAAGCCACAGGTATTTGGACTTTCATGAAAAACAGACGAATGAGTAAGCGATGAAATATTTCTAAACTAATACTTCTAAAATTTCTAATACACTTCTGCAGATGAGGCCAGTATGTAGTTTTGCAGATGATGGAAAACTGTTCATAATGGTCAAAGACTTGGGTTTTGTAAAAACCCACTGATATTTCAAACTCAGTATATCCTTTAAGTTGCCTCTCTCATTCCCCCTGCGCCTTGATGTTTTACAACTCACTTGTATCTATTGTGCCACTTTGCTTCATGGGTAGAACAGTATTTTAATACTGTTGAGTACCTTGGGAAGGAAGCCAGATCAGAATGTGACCACTCTAGAGGGCTGTGATAATAAAATGTGCATATAGATTGCAAGTTGGTTGAAGTAACCTTAAGAAACAGATCTCTGGTTTTGATAGGAGAACGTTTTTCGAGTGTAGTCATTTCATTGTATGTAATTGCAGTGGTGAATTATGGCCACTAGTCTGTGCTAATGTGCAATTAATGAGGGGTTATTAGTGGCTTTCTGAGAATGAAAAAAAAAAAGCATTGCACATGGTGAATGGAATAGAAAACATCTTTAGGTGAGACTGCTTCTGACAGAGTTCCTGCTCATTAAGACTTAACAAAGTTGCAAGATGGCAACTGATTAAAAACCACTTTTTGAAATATCGCAAAGAATGCAATTCTGCTACTGTTTCTTATATTGATTAGGGCTTTTCTATTTGCCTCTCAATTTTGGGATTAACTGGTTACTTGACAAAAAGTACCTGTGTAGCATAGCATTTATGACATACTAGAAAACTTCATGGAATTGGAGCCTAAATGTGAGAAAATCAAGGTTCTGAGTGTCAGTGGACAGCTGTGGGCTTAGGGCCACAAAAATGTAAAGGAGCCTTTGTTTTTAAGGTATTTAAAAGCCTTGAAATGAAGGAATTCTGCTTGCACATGAATATATATGTTGTATTTTAGGGCATTATTACTGTTGTATTTGGGCTTTGCTGTATTAATTGAATGGGTAGAGAAGTAACTGCCATTGTGGGTCCTCTCAAACTTCTGTCACCTTTATGTTGAAAGCTTCTTAGTTAGTGGTATTGTACAGGTTCTTACTTTCAGTAGGCTTTTGTTGTCTGGTTGGTCTGCAGAATCTGCTCATGTGTTCTTACTGTTCTAGAGTAGGGTTTGATTGCTTTGACAGAAATACTTCCTGAAACTGCACCACGTGGATTGCTTCTCTTCCTTCTGCTTACCATATCCTGAGGTGCCTGGGTATTTGAAGGGTATTTGAATGAGGAACATATTTCTAATCATAATAGCAGAGGTTTGGATCATGTGTTTGAAGTGAGAGGTTGCCCAAAAAAAGTTATGGTAACTGTTTTAGAAGAAAGTTATAGGAATCAATTCTGGGAT